TGTAATTATTTTTCTGCCTTCCGCGGGTGGGGGCGGGCTCTTGCCCAGAATGCCAGTATCCCTCCCTTCAGGAAGACACCTAGGGATGGTAAGTTTGCCAAACAACTTCCTAGATCAACCCTCCGATAGACAGGGCACTGCAAAAGTGCTAAGGGTGATTTTTCTTTTCTTTTCTTTTTTTTTTCTGGGCTGATTTTACTGTCCAGGAACAGGAATGAAAGAGGAACTAGAGTTTCTACCTCGATCTTGGAGTCTAATGTGAGAATTGCGTCCCTTCTCGGTCGCCCCAATTCCACTGGACAGTACGAAAAGTCACATTTAGGAATGAAGGCTAAATTCTGTGTTGAGGACTTGGCGTTTCTCTTCTCCGAGGTTAACTGTATATTCCTGCTTTGCAAACGAGAAAGGGAAGCCTGCTTCTCCCCTTTCCCATCCATTCCGTTCCTAGAGGACCCCAGTTCTCAGGACACCCCAGAACGCTTCGGTGCCTTCCACAGCTGTCCCCCACCCCACCCCGGTCTGCGGCCTCTCATTGCGAAGGACTAAATACAGACTCTTAGGCTGAGATTTAGCTACAAGCGCGGGGGGTGGGGGGTGGGGGGTGAGGGGACCTTAAAAGAAAAGGACTGGTGTGCGTGACACGCAAGGAGGACATTCGTCGACACTGTGTTTTGAAAAGTTTGGGAGCTAGAGCCAGCTTCGAGGTCATGCGGTCATCGTGGGCTCCGGCTTCTGCCCAGGAGGCAGAGGACTCGTCCTAACAACCCCGGACTCTCTGCACTTGCCGGACGAGGGGCCGCGTAGGGAGGTTTGAGCAGAATCTGGGCAAAGAGAACTGGAGACCCACACAGCGTCTTTCTGGGGAGCCCCCTGGGGGCCGTAGGACGTCAGGTTCCCGGCCGCGCGATTGTCGACGGCGGCCTCCAGCTGCCTGCGGCTCCGCTGGGCACCGGGCACGCGGCGCGCTTCCCGAGGGCCACCCGCGGGAGGCCGGCGCGCGCCCAGCCCAGCTGTGCACCCAAGCCGGGAGAGGGAGACCAGGGATCGTGCAAAACGCTGCAATCTTTACAAAACAGTGCCCACTTCATTTTGCACAAGCAGGCGGGCAGGGTAATGCAAAGCCAGGCCTCCTGTGAGCTTTGCTATCACCTGACACTGCTTTGCAAAGTCGCACAAGCATCTGTAGCCCAAATGCCAAGAACCGGCAAATAGCTTTGCGGTCCGAAATAAAAGGACGTTCTATTTGCTTTGCAAAGAGACCGAGAACAGCGCTCAAGGAATCAGAATATTACCATTATACCAAAATATAAAATAAAATACAGCTGGACACGGCTACAAAAAGACAGTTGTCTGTCGTGAGGAATCTACTTCCATTCTTCCCCCAAAGAAGTCCCTTCAATCAAAACCAGAAAGTCAAATTCATTATTTTCTAAAAGCCACAGAAACAAAATATACAAACAAAAACCAAGAATTGCAAAACTGGACAGTACCCTCCAAAGTGAAAGATGGTGGTTATCTGACCTCAGGTTTCCAGGGAAGTTTTTAGCAGGAAAAAACAAATCTATTAAAGATACCAACTCAATTCTCTGGTTTGGGCAATTTCCCTGTCTTTGGAATGCTGCACACTCAGCTTCTTATCTAGACCTTCCTTTGAACTTAATCCAGATTTTCATAGTAAAGGTTAGAATGTTCTCGCCTTCTCCCTTCTTGAAGGGATTCACCTTACAGACAGGGTTCCTAGGGAGATCTACTCAGACACCTTCCAACTTAGGTGAAAGAAAAGAAAGCAAAGAATATTAAATCAATCCCCATCTCCAACCCTAGTTGCAGCCAGAAAAGAAACCTTACCTCTGAGAACTAGGAAAAGTCGCTGAAAACCCACAGAAATGCAAATAATGGGTGTGTGTGTGGGGGTGGTGGTGAACTCAAGTCTTTGCTAAATGAACTGATGGCCAAAGGAAACTTCTTCCACAAAGAAAAATATGAGAACTTGTTTTTCAAAACTCTCCAAGAGCAAGACGTGAAGACAGGTGTTTGTGTGTGTGTGTATGTGTGTGTGTGTAAAGCTCTTTCAATACCAAGAGATAAATAAATAAATAAGCAGTGTCAACTAGCAGGCGATCAAACCACAGTAAAACTTCAATCTCAGAGCAGTTAGCTATAAACTATTAGCAGTTGAAAAGTAAACCTTGTACACACAAAGGCACTATTTAATTTTCTTCTTGTAATGGTTCTAAATGAAGACCCCCATCACCACGCAGTTAAGCGGTATTCCTTGTCCCCCTGAGGCACTGATCAGTTCCTTTTAATGTGAGAAAACTGGCAGCTCAAAACCCGTCAATGGAGCTCCCACAACAAAAGTTCTGAAAAGCTGAATGAATTGAGTTTGTAATTACTGCTCCCCCACCCCAGCTTATCTCTTATTCATTCAATTTATATTATTGTCAAGAAACCATACTCTCAAAATCATTCGCTTACATTTTACCATTTTATCTAGGGTCATGGAAGAACTTATGACACAGCAGAAATACAATCCCCCCCCCCATTACACCTTGCAGTATTCAGACCAATGGATGGAAAAGGGTAGAGGGACCACTTAACACCCTGATCTACTCTTGCCACAATGACTCAGGGTACTCCACCTGTAGAATCTTCTATTTGAAACCCCGGATTTTACGAGCAAACAAATGCTTCTCCTACCTAAATCCGGGGCCTTGCTTGGTTCCCTGAAATCGTGGGACATTGCTACTTAGAAAAGATAAAACGTTATAAGTAAACATCCTCCTCTTGCCCTCCATATTTCAAATCCCTGAAAGGTCTTGCCAGGTGTGATATGGAAATTAAGTTATAATCTTGTTTTCCTTTTAAACCAAAATATGATCTAGAAATTAAAATTACGATGTTATTTTGTTCTTGTTTTACTTTTAAGCAAACAATAAAAAAAAATCCCCCCTAGTTCATGAAATAGAAAAGGAACTGTGACTCCCTCCCCCAGGCCAAAAAAAAGGGGGGATTTATGAAAAAGCCAACATCAATGTGTGTTAGGGCTGTTTTTTAATCTAAGATGATACTGGTGATGGGGAAAACTCTCCTGAGATTTTCCTACTGCAAGAATGTGTGGGTTTCCAGAAATAAGTACAGCTATTACAACCAAATCTACTAGCAGTCTAAATAATTAATTGAAGCATTGCTCTTTGACCCTTGAAAAGTCCAGTAGGGACACGTTTATAGTAATAATACCTCCGAATGAGCCCTTGTCAAATATTCATTTAGTGGTTAATGTGAGCCATTCTCCCCTGGGATGGTCTGTAATACCAGCTTCCCAGTATTGGCAAAGCAGCCTTGCTAATCTACTACAGCTCAGCAAAATATTTTAACGCTCTTTATTTAAAGTATGGAGGGGGCGGGTGCTCAGAGAAGGAAAAAAAATGTAGTGAGAATAGACTATAATCTCATCCTTTTGCACATTTCTACTCTGTGTGTAGGTTAAGGGAAACATTTAAATTCACCCCCTTTCACTGAAAATTAAGGTTTCATTGAGCAGAACAATATCCCAAGAAAAAAGAACAAAACACTGCAGAGCCATCTTCAGTGCTAGGAGATAACTGTCTCCAGGCAAGTTCATGGCCTTACCCTCCTTGAAAATCATGCTGTTAAAATACTATATGCTCAATATTAATCTAGCCATGAAATGACATACCTTGGGAAACTATTTACTCATCAAAGGATGCAAAGAGGTATGTATCATTTTCTTCAGATGTAGTTTATCAAAGGCATTTATATTTGCAAACCAAATACTTTGACCTCTATACTCTTCAACTGTTTAGTTTGGAGATATGGAGGGACGGGAGGGGAAATAGAAATTCCCTTGTTTTGGGAGTAGAGAGACAATCATTCAACCTAATACAGCTTCCCAAAATATTATGCTCCTTCCTCTTATAAGACAGTTGAATGTGAGCATTTTGTCACAATGTTGCTTTTTAGCCCGATCCCCCCCCTTGCTCTCTTAATGGGGAGACTAATAAAAGTTACTTTAACCTGTATATATTTCTGCTTTATGTCCGCCCCCCACTCCAAATATACACATTCTATATCATTGATTGGCTCAAATTCCAAAAATATCCTCCCCACTCTGGAAGCTCGGTTCTTTTGGATCTTTATTCAAAGTTTCTTTTATTCGTCAATGTGAGCCAGATCGGGCGAATGTGCTCATTATCACGTGAATAATCCCTATATGCATTACAATGGCTGACCAGGCCGGGGGAAATTCTTTTAGAGTCTCTGCATTAATTAGGGGAGGGGAATGCCTGGCTAGTCGGGAACTCGAATAATAACTTCCCCCTTGCCAATACAGCATTACTCTAGAAATGAAGATAAAGACGAAAAACCAATAATAATGTAGAATACAGCCATCCAGAATAAACACAAATACAGAAAATGAGTTTGGTTTTCCTAGTTCCATCCTAGAACTCACATTAGCAACACCTCGAGACTTTTCTTGGAAACGATGCAAACCGAGATGAGCTAACTCAGTAGTGCCGGCGGGTACTCTACACAAGAGCCGCGGCTTCCAACTTCTCCGAAGTTGCTCCAAGTTGACAAATTGCAAGTTGCTGCAAATTGTGAGAAATAAGTCTGCCCTCCTAAGAGTGCCCAGCTCTTGGTTCTCGGCGCCTTTGGGTCGGGGAAGGATGGTCGAAGCAAGCAGTAAAGAATAAAAGTCCCTGACCAGTTCCCCCAGGCTTTGCCAAAGCGCCGGCAGCTTGTAGGGCCAAAGCATCGCTAATTCAAAGACCATGATGTTTCCCCCAACTTTACCTCTCTCACTCAGGACAACTATTGTCTTTCTTTACCTTTCCCAGGGCAAACGAAAACAACATATCCGATCTTATTCGCCTCCACCTCCCCTCCCCTGACTCCTATCACTCGAGTAAAACAGTTAAGAGATCAAAAGCATAATCATCTCCAAATGTGATTAGACCACAAAGTAAAATATCTACCTCAGAGTTGATTGTTTTCTTCTTTAATATGGCTGTTGCCTGGCTTCTCTTTCGCTTGTTATCAGCTGCAGAGATTATCCGATTTGGGGCTACAGGCTTGGACCCGCGCTGCCAATTTAAGAAATGGAATTCAGGGAGGGAGAGAAAGGGGGGGGGAGAAAATAAATAATATATATATATATATATAAACTATATCGGTGATAAGTCGGGGAGTTTTTGCAAGACGTTCTTTGCTTTCCCTTGCCCCTAAACAGCAAAATGTAGGAGAAAGTTTAAGAAGTCAAGGAACAAAGGAAGCAAACCACTTGTTTCCTCGTAGACAATAGCAGGGCCAGAACCATCTAGACACCCTCCCAGCCGAGGAAGCCTTTGCCGTATCTACTTTGCAATTATTCCAATACGATACAAAAAGCATTATTTCCCCCCTATAACCAGGTTTCAAAGGGCCATTTGCTGTGAAGAAAATGAAAACAAAACTAGCCAACCTGGTTGTGATCTGGCTCAATACCTCATCTGCTAAGCTGGATGAAAAATTTCAGAATTGACTCCTTTCTGGCAACAAGTGGTACAAATTAGTTTAAATCTAAGTCCCCATCATGCTCATTCATGGCTGCTTAGAAAAGGAGGGGGTGGGTTTACAATAAAGGCCTCTAGTTTCTATTCTAGAAACTAGAATACGCATTTCAATTTTTTCCCCCAAGGGTGCACATCAATAATCACTTAGCCATCTTTCTCTCTGCAGTTAATGTTTGCACACGTTCCTGGTCATACCAAGGTTTTTTGGCATTTTGCTTCCATGGCTGAACACAGTATAATTCCCCCAAAGGACATGTATAATCGGTGTTATCCAAATAAATGAAAGACTCAAGCATATTTTCAGTATCCATATTTCAAAAATTTATTTATCTCAAACTGTGCATAATGGAGTAAAAACTGAAGTTGAAAATGTACCTGTTATAAGGATGGTATTAGTTCACATATATATACATGGATTCTCGGCAGACTGATTCAAATAATACAGAGCCGAATCTTTTAAAATACAACTACGGAAAATAAAAGGGGGAGAAACCTTAAAATATCACAATAAATTTACAGAAATATTACAAACCATAAGAAAATATTTCAAACACAGTAATCTCAGGTTGTTTTCTTTTTTTAATCTGGACAAAATGAAAAGGTGGGATTGAACAAAAGCTATTATAAATTACCAACGATGTCAAACTGCATGGCCATATTTTTTTTCTTTACTTTTAACAGTAAGTTAAAAAATTTAGTACAATCTAAAACTTTTGCCCTTAAAACAAGACCAGGGAGATGGTTTTGCCAGTACTTATTCTAATTTTTTTCTTCCTTTTGTGCCATTTTAAAACTAAAATGTCCAAATCTGAATAACTTTCTTCTTTCCACGTTTGCAACTGTCCCTAAATTTCAGCTGCAGACTCAAAATTCAGCAAGAAGCCTCTCCTCGAAAAATATTGGCAAATTCTCAAGCTTATAAACAATGGACATTTTGATTGCCATGTTTATCTCGATAAATACTGTACAAAAGTTGCTTGCAAATATTAAAACATTTTTTCGTCGCTTGGAGACTAGCTCTAAATATTATTGGTAAAGACTTTTGCAAATTTCCTGCAAAGCTCCTACCGTAACACTAGAACTTTTAAAAAGTTTTGCGTAGTTTCTTTCCTCCAGATCTATACAAGGTCCGTTCCCCCGCCCTCCCCACTCGCCCACCCCCGGTTTTCTCTGTACAAAAATAGTCCCCCCCCCTCCCAAAAGAAGTCCAGGATCTCTCATAAAAGTTTTCTGGTCGGCTTCGCGGGTTTTGCGTGAGTTTGGATGGGATTGCTCTTCTCTTTTGCAGCTGTCATTTGCTGTAAGTGATGAGACTTTTTTTTTCCTTTAGAGCGTTACCAGGATTTTTTTTTTTGCCCATGCTGTTTCTAATTCTCCTTTTTTTGCACCCCTCCCATTTAAAATCCCTTGCTTTGCTTTGAAAATCCTCCCCCACCTTGCTCCAGTTCGCTGTCCGGCCCTCACATGTGCGAGAGGGGCAGTGTGCCGTTGATGGCCGTGCCGGGCACCGGGCCGCTCTGGTAGTGTTGGGACATGTGCAGTCTGCTGGGGGCGGCGGGCTCCGGCACCTCGGCGCCTGGGAGGTACATGCTGATCATGTCCCGGAGGTCCCCGGCCTGGCAGGGCGCCCTGGAGTGGGAGGAAGAGGTAACCACGGGGGGGCTGGAGCTGGCCTCAGACTTGACCACCGAGCCCATGGAGCCGAGCGCCATGCCCGGGGTGCCCTGCTGCGAGTACGACATGCTGTAGGTGGGCGAGCCGTTCATGTAGGTCTGCGAGCTGGTCATGGAGTTGTACTGCAGGGCGCTCACGTCGTAGCGGTGCATGGGCTGCATCTGGGCAGCGCCGTGGGCGTTGAGGCCCGGGTGCTGCGGGTAGCCCAGCTGGTCCTGCATCATGCTGTAGCTGCCGTTGCTCCAGCCGTTCATGTGCGCGTAGCTGTCCATGCGCTGGTTCACGCCCGCGCCCAGGCCGGCGCCCACCCCGACCCCGCTCGCCATGCTGTTGCCGCCGGGGGCCAGCAGGCCGCCGGGCAGCGTGTACTTATCCTTCTTCATGAGCGTCTTGGTTTTCCGCCGGGGCCGGTATTTATAATCCGGGTGCTCCTTCATGTGGAGGGCGCGCAGCCGCTTGGCCTCGTCGATGAACGGCCGTTTCTCCGTCTCCGACAAAAGTTTCCACTCGGCGCCCAGGCGCTTGCTGATCTCCGAGTTGTGCATCTTGGGGTTCTCCTGGGCCATCTTGCGCCGCTGCCCTCGGGACCACACCATGAAGGCGTTCATGGGCCGCTTGACGCGGTCCGGGCTGTTCTTCTGGTTGCCGCCCGCCGCCGCCGCCGTGGAGTTGCCGCCGCCGCCGCCGCCGCCGCCCCCCGAAGTTTGCTGCGGGCCCGGCGGCTTCAGCTCCGTCTCCATCATGTTGTACATGCGGGCGCTGTGCGCGGGCCCGGCCCGCCGGCGGCCGCCGACCCTGGGCCCGGCCGGGACTTTGGGGGGCCCGCGGGCGGGGGGAGGGTGGCGGAGGAGAGGAGGGGAGGCGGGCGGGGGGTTCGGGAGCGCAGGGCTCCGCGAGAAGAATCAGACGAAGAATTGGGGGGGAAAGAGAGAGAGAGCGAGCGGGAGAGAGCGCGAGAAAAAAAAAAAAAAAAAGCGCTTCCCTCCTCCTCCGGCGGGTCCTGCCGCAGCCGACGATTGTTATGATTATTTTTTTGGAAAGGCTTAAGCCTGGGGCTCAAACTTCTCTCCTTTCTCTCCCTCTCCTCTTCTTTCTCTCAGTCCTAGTCTTAAAGAGGCAGCAAACTACTTTCCCCCTTTTGCAAACACTCTCTTCTCAGCCTTGACAACTCCTGATACTTTTTTGAACAAGTTAATAGACAACCATCCATGTGACGGGGGCTGTCAGGGAATAAATGGGTTTCTAGCGACCAATCAGAGCGCGGCGGCTCCTCCACTCGAGCCCGGCCTCGCCGCCGGG